AGCTAAATTAGAATTAAGTTTACTCGAAAAATTGCTTTATAATAGTTAAAAGTATAATTATAAATAGTGATGAGCAGAATTACTCTTGTTCTTGCGGTCATGGCTTGGTCTTGCATTTCTACGAAACCAAGAACAAGACCAAGACTGTAATAATATCAGCAAGACCAACATCAAGACTGTACTCAATTGACAAGAACAAGACCAAGACTTTTTTAGCAAGACCAAGAACAAGAACAAGACTACACTTGCAAGAACAAGACCAAGACCAAGACTCAAAATGCAAGAATCTTGCAACAACAAGAATAAAACTGCAAGAGTATTGCACTCTTGCAAAAAAAAAAAAAAATTGGTTGTTGGTTAAAATCGTTAAGAATATTAATGACAGATTCAACAATATTAAATTTTACTTTGATTTTTATTGATTACGCGTATTGTTCAAATTAAATATTACCTATGAGCTGATGTTACCGATTAACTTAAAATTTTACAATCATGTTTCAAAATTTATTGTCATTCAATTGTAATTAATTAATTTTAAATAATTAAAGAAGATTAAAAATAAATATTCCGTGCTTCAAACATTATGATAAAATTAGATAAAATTTTTGTTTACTTCTAAAGCGGAGACTGAAACTGGTTTTATAAAAACTGGTTATAACAGTTTTTTTCGGTTTTGTTAATCAAAACCAATAATTTTTAAAAACTGTGTCTATGAACAGAAAGCGATTATTATTTAAAACCGGTTTTAAAAATCGATACATAAAACCGGCGACTGGTAAACTCATAAAATAAATATATTCATGTTCATTATTCAATGAAAAAAATTAATTAAAATGCAAAAAAAATTATCCGACTAGGAGAATCGAAATCGCGTCCTCCCCGACCGCACATCCGCTGCGTTACCATTCGGACAATATTACGCCATCAGTTTAAAGTGAAAAAATACTTTGTTTCAATAACGTCTTATTTTTTTATAATTTAATTTATTTGTTTATTTTTTTTTAATACCCCAAACTATTCATAAAAAAATCATCCATATTGTTTATGCTAATATTAAGTTCTAACTTAAAAATCCTATGGCATATAAATTAAATTTGAATTTACAAACTGAAGTAGATAACTTCGTTATTTAAACCTTTTAAGTAGAAAATTTTTACAAATATAAATGAATGCAAGATTTTGCAAGAGTATTGTGACAAGACTCACAACAAGAACAAGATTTTATGGGCAAGACCAAGAACAAGAACAAGACTAGATTTGCAAGACCAAAACCAAGACCAAGACTGAGTTAGCAAAGCAAGACCAAGACCAAGACTGAGCTATCAAGAACAAGACTATGACCAAGACTTTGACAGTCTTGGTCTTGTTCTTGTTTTGCTCATCACTAATTATAATTTCTTTTAATCCTCAAAAATAGTAAAAAATATTTAGTTATTTTATTGTAAAATAATGTTTTTTAACTGGCGAATATTAAAAAACCCCAGGGAATAAAAATAAATTTTACGATAAAATATTTTTTGATTCGTAAAAATATGTGTTTGTAAATTATTAATTCTCTTAAATATTCTTAAACTGAAATATGCAATTTTGTTTTTTACAAATAATTTGAAAAAGATAGCTTTTTATAAATCATATAAAAGTAATTTTTTTTTCATAGACTTTAACTTCATACAAACCTGAAAAAAAAATACTTAAAAACTACCCTTGATTAAGCCATAGCTTATTTAATTAACTCTAATTTATTATATATATTTCCATTTGAATAAATAAAGTTAACACATATGGTATTTATACCTTATAAAGGACGAACAAAAAATTACTTTATGTTTGATAAAAAATTGAGAAAAGAAAAAACAATACACAATATTATTTTTTGAATAATTAAATGGTTCATGATGACTGCATAATCTGTATACTAATAATTTGCTAGTAATAACTTATATTGCATATAAATATCATATCTTGAAGAAAAATACCTATATTCAACATAAATTCATCAACAACACAGATAAATAGTGAGACTTTTTTTAATGATGAATGATGGGAATATTTTAAAAATATTTTGAAATAAACTATCAAAATTGTTTTATTTTGCGTTTGGAATAATTTATTAATTAAAAACTACCCACAAATTTGTATCGAAACGTTTTTTATGATTTTTTATTATAATATTGTCACAAAAAAATATTTTATTGATTTTAACTATGAAATTGATTACCATAACAATTTTTTTGCTATATAAATAGAAGATTTGTTCAAAATTATTCATAAGTAAAATGTTAAATGAGTTTGTTAATTTTACAAATCTAATTTCAATGATCTTTCACTGTATCTTTTGAATCTATAGGTTCGATTATTCTTTATTTTTTGTTTATTATTTTATTTAGTATTAGTCATTACTTATATTTTTTTAAGTATTGCTGCTTTTATGTTGTGGATGATGTATAAAAGTATTTCACAAATTCACCTTTTCGATGTTTGTTATAGGTAAAACAATATTTTATTAGTATACTTTTAACATTAATTCTTGGCAATTTATACAATAAGATATTGCATAATTTTTATGTATTAAGTAGTAAATAAAGAAATATACAAATTGGTTAACATTAATTATTATAATTAATTTTCATAATACATGGCAGTAAGTATAAAACACATTGAAGGAATGCTTTTACAACAAAATACATAAATGATAATTTATGTATTTTATGTATTATAAGTTTTTTTGTATTATTATTTATTGTATTATAATTTTTATATCGTGCACAGTTTTAGCTGCTCATAATTAAAAGCAATAAATAATATATATTTTTTCATTCTTCGACCCAAATTAACTAATTTCTACTTAATAATTTTAGAAGGCTATTTGTTTCACCGTCGTTAATGATGATTACAAAATCATCACGTATGTTTTGAATTTGAAGCTAAGATTGACTTAAGATTAACAATAATTGTGATAAAGTAAATCTTTCCCAATTTTCATCGTTTGTTTATGAGTAATATGGCCCTGCTGATATACACTGTAAAGAAGATCTGTTGACACAAAAAAAAATGTACAATTTCGAAAACACATTCAAATCACATGGCTAGTTTTTATTTATAGTGCATCAAATGTTTTGTGTTTCTAGTTAATCGATTTATTACAAGAAAGAGTAAATTTTATTCTTTTTTTTGTAAGTTTGTTAATGTATTATTATGGACTTCTTTCTTTCCTTTAATACATCATGTTACTTATAGTATATCTACTAATTAAATAGTTTGGGGACGTATTTAGGAATGGCAGGTACACGTGCCTCCTTAACATTGCCTATACATATGCTAATATTTGAATAAGTAATAAATAATGGATGAGTTTTTAATATCAATTAAGAGCCTCCTAGAGTTTTTCTAGAAATGATAACACTAACAAATTAATTGTCTAAAATTTCATCTTTTTGTTTAATACATAGAGATATAACGTTAATACTTCTTACGTTACGACTGTTTATAATTAATAAAAATGGATTCAATAATATCAAAATAAAAAAAACCGGTTTAACTTGAGTTAATTTCAAAAATGTTTTGAAAAAAATTTCCATTTGTTTTTCAAGTATGTATGTGGTATTTTTTTAACCTCTCTTCAGATTTTATTTTAACTACCTTAACAAAAAAAAATAATTACGGTCCTTATCCAAGAGAATTTTTTTGTAAATACCCCATTATAAATTTCTAAATACGTTCTGGGCTCATTATAATGTATTATATGTGCTAATTTTATAAAATGCTTATTCTTATAAGTTAACATGGAACATATAATTATAAATATCAATGCCTATATTTTAATTTTATTTGAAAAATTTATGACTCTTTTGATAATAAATTGGCCACTTTATAATTAAATTTATTCGGATTACTGTACTACGTGTAGATAAAGATAACAATCAATTTTATTTGTAATATATAATTTATTAGTTTATACAATTAACTTCATTTATCAATTCTTGATGTACTCGTTTTATTATAACGAAAAAAATTATTTAGATGTAAATTTTATTAAATAAATAAATTTGTGTATAATTTTTAATAAATCTAGTTAATCAAAATTTTGATTTTTAATTATCGACTTCACCATACATTAATGATAAAATAATATTTTATTATAATGTGTTTACAATAAATTTATAAAATAATTATTTATTTGAAAGTAATTAAATTAAAAATAATTAGTGATTAATTCAATAATTTATTATTTACATAAAAAATGATTTATTATTAACAAAATTTTTATTTGTTTGTCATAAATTGTCATGACAACAAAGTTTAAAAAAAAATTATTCCTAAATATTGTACATTATTTTGCTGATTAAATATTTAAAGGGTTAATAGCAACAAAGTTTTTTTTATAGAATATAACGCTGTTTATTATATATAACATTGTTGTATCGAAACGTTACTTAATATCTCGGTTTAGTAATGCTCATATAAATATAATTTAAGGTAAAATATAATTTTATATAATTTACAGGTATTTTTATATGGTTCTAACTATAATAAGTTTTTTTAGAGTATTTTTTTAAAATAGTCCAAACTGTAAATTTTATTTAAAAAAATATATATTTGTTAGATCAAAAGTAATTAAAGATATCAAAATCTGATAGGAAATTTTGTATATATTTGTGTTATGAACTAGTATAACAAAACACCTATTGATTTAAACGATTCTAAAGATATGTTAGATTATGTGCAAATAGTAGATATAATGTACATCGAAGCAAAGAATGATTACATTTTTTATACCTACTTAACACAATTTAGGTATGTAATTCGAATATGATTATTTCCATGTAAGATTCAAAATTGTCTGGTTAAAGTTTTTAAGAATTGATCTCTATAATAATTTTAATTAATTAATGTTCAGTATAATATTTTTTTGAATTAAGTATTAAGGTTACTAATTTTAACTATTATAAAGTAATTCTCAAATAGGTAAAATAAAATAATAATTTATTAAAAAAAAAAAAATCCAAATAAAATTAACATAAAAAATTTAAATTATTAATTAACAATTAAAATATATTATATATATATATAGAGTTAACTTTATTATAAAGTTAAAAATCGTTATTAGACCCGTAATTGAAAACATTCGGCGAAGTGATGTCATCATAAAATCCCTGAAAAAATTAATAATTTACAATTAATATAATTTTTATGTAATGATAGTATTTAAGCATAAGAAGATATTGTAATACATAAAGTATGGTGTTTCTTCATACTTAAATGTTACATGTAATGCTAAATGATGATTTTCCAAACAATAAAATTAAAAACAAAATCATACAAATTGATTTATAATTACGTAGTCCTGAGGTAACAAATATAAAAATATACAACCAAATTAATATAAGATGGTTAAAAAATAATTTCAAGTGACACTTAAATATGCAGTTTAATTGACCTGTTCAAAAGATGAAGATTGTTTCTACCATTTAAAACTTCATATTATTTCTCAAATGATGTTGAAAATGTTAGTTGATTATTAATAGATAAATTTTGAATTGCTTTGAACTGTTTTGTAAAATATAATTTTTTAGGAAAGGAAATTTGTAAGAAATAATTTGTCGAATTTGTTCGCTCTAGTGTTGATAATTTGAAGACACTGTAGTTTCCAGGTCACGTATGCGGTTGAATTATACCTGTAGACATTTAGTTATACCTGTCACTTTACTGAGTACATACAGACTTGATGCATAGAAAAGTTTTCTAAAGAGCTATACTGCTAAGTTGTTTTCTTGTCAGGTTTTTACTTTGAGGGATGTTTCGTGAAATCAGATCACAACGAATATAAATAATATACATACATATATATGTACATTATGCCACACACTTTGGTAACATCATTTGAAAGTCATTAGCGAATATAATGTGTAAAATTGGATAATCCGTATTATACTTCCTATTACATTATTAACATGTAAACTTGGATTAACATTAAGTTAAGTTATATATAAATGAAAAATTAATTTTAAAAGAATTTAGAATTTCACCGTTTTAAATTAAGATGAAAACTATGAAGATAATTGATAGAGGTAATTTTTTGACACTCCACGAAAGAGTACAATTGTGTAATGCATAGGTAACTGTATTCAAATAGTGCGCGCCGTACATCTTCAGACTTATACATGCACACATGTTTATTTATTATATTAATGAGTCTTATCCTTCTAAATACTACTATATCTGTCAGCGATCAACCAATTCGATGGTCACACACTGTCCACTATCCTTTCCTATGTATTATCAGGCCGACTTGGGAAACGGTACGGTTATGTTTGAAGAAATCCCATCACATCAGCGTCAACATTTTTCATTGATGGCTGTTATGAATTCATGATGGAAGAGTAAAAAACTTTTTATTTGGCTTGACCATCACAATTATACATTGTATAACACCAACCTCACAATTCATCACCACTTATTGGAAAACTTATTTGTAATGTAGTATTTTTATTATTATTCATTTTTTCTATGCACAGTGCGCATTTTTCATTAATTTTATTATGTTGTTATTTAGATGACCAAGAGGTCAACATATGTTTATTTGAGTTAATGATTATATAGATTTTAACTGCGGTTTGGACTTATGTTCTTTCTCTTTTTTAAATTCTTCTTTCTTTCCTTTACGTGAACTGACAAGTCCTCGGGTACGATCAGGATGAACATCTCATTGGTTCCTCTACATGAATGTAGAGGATACCCATTGACGATGGTGACATGTTCACTATACCCTAACATGCGTTGGATCTGTCATGCACATGTTACAACCCTATTTTATTCTGATTTTTTGATCTTGTTGGTACATTATTAAATTAATTATTTAATATTATTTTTAAAATTAATTTACTTTATTTAAATTATACTTTATCCAGTTAATATTTGATATATCTGCGATTTTTTTCTGATAATGTACACTTAAATATTTCTTATTTGAACACTATGTTAAACTTACATTAATCGTGTGTCGTTATACTATTTAAAAAATACAGAGATATGCCTGAATGTTTATAGATCATTATTATAAAATTCCCTGTTTTAAAGTTATGTGGCATAAATACTAACTTTAACTTAAATAATTTATTGGGTAGAAATAATATTAAATAAATATATGGTTTAGTTTTACATTTCTTTTTATGATTTATGTAGTCAACTTTATTACCTCAAGCATTCTGTAAATATTGTTATTAAAATCTTGATCATAACTTAATTGTTAATACTGTTTTATTTTTTATTTATAACCTTTTTACCCGTAAGATTAGTTATGAAATCAATGGAGCTCCGGATTTGCCTTTGGCTTGCCTTAACTCATTCTCTTCTCGGGGTTCTTGTTTAAATTAGGCTGGTTAATTATGAGTTTAGCTTACAAACGTTTTAAAGTATTTTAATAGGTAAGGTCCATGTCAAAAATTACAATTTTTTATTTTTTTGCAAAATTTGTTAAAATGTTTGTTTTATTCAGAGTTTTACAATTATTCGCACGTTTTACCATTACCCTAAGTTTAAAAAATATTGTTTTCTAAAATAATTTCCATAGTATTCTTAAAATGTACATATGATTCATTTACGATTTACTAATAATTATTATTCAATAGTATTTGGGCGTATCCAGACAGATTCGTTATGTTTGAAGTTAAATTTTTATTTGTTTCAAATTCATTATGAGNAATATTGTTTTTTAAAATAATTTCCATAGTATTCTTAAAATGTACATATGATTCATTTACGATTTACTAATAATTGTTATTCAATAGTATTTGGGCGTATCCAGACAGATTCGTTATGTTTGAAGTTAAATTTTTATTTGTTTCAAATTCATTATGAGGTAACTAGTTTCAAGATTTCATAGTAATTTGTAGGAATACAATTTACTTGAGCTATGTTCCCACGCGATGGCGTGTTTAGTAAAGCAATGCCAAGATAATCAAATTCCCAAGTCGACGGGAGCGTTACATGTGTTATGATTATTTTACTTTCATTTCAAAATAATTAAAAATTACGGAAATCGCTATTTTTGTTTAAATTCAGTTGTTTGGTTTGATGACCCTTATCATTATCTACTTGCACGTTAAAACAATGTGTGTGTACATTCATCTTCTACGATGTCAGTAACAATGGTCTTTGTGCTCTCGTAAAGAATCGTTTAATTGTCACTCTGAATTCTGGAAAGTAGGCGTTAGATAACTGTCATCACCGTATTCTAGGTTAAGAATAAAATTCATCTCATACGAACTGTAATAGTAATTTATTAAGAACTTTTGTAAAACTAATTAGGATAGAAAAAACTTTACAACGCTGCAAATTAAGCAACACCTGGATTCTAGTACAATAGAATTGTTGCACTTTGTTTTGTGACTTATCTTTGTTATTACGACTCACAAAAATGTATCTCTTAAAACATTTTCATGGAAATAAGTTTACTTGTCTCAGTTTTTAATGTGAATAAAAATTTAAATAACTTTTATGTATACAGATGATCCACTAAATATATATCATGCGATTACTTAAAAATTTAAGATATTTCACCCCTTAATTAACATAACAAAATATAGTTCTACCCATCTTCCTATTTCTTGAAATTGTATTAACTATAATTTTTTTAAATGAAAATATACATGTTTAACTAGCCTACAAGTAAGAAAATAACAACTTTTAATTCAGTATTTCGGAAGATGAATGTGAAGCACAGTTCTAATTGTTTTTATTTTTAAGAATTTCTGAACAACTAAGTATCCTCCCGTTAGGATGCAAAACTATTTATATTTTTTTAAATAATAGTTCAAAAGTAAGTATCGATCAGTCATTTTCTAAGTTGGATTATTTGTAAGTTAATTAAACAAGTAAAAAAATAAAAAACTATTTTATTTTAAATAAAAAAACTAAAGTTGATACAATTTTAAGGGATAAGAAAGTGGTTAAACTATATTTTGCTATATTAATTAAAGTATGTAATAACTTCTGAAAAGAAAAAAATATATGTTATCTTATACTTTTGAAGATATTACATGAAACAAATTTATTGGATCATTTCGTATAATATACAGATACTATAATAAAAAATATTACTTTTTTATATACTATTAAACTAAAACGTATAGATATATTTTATGACACTGATTGACTGAATTCTGCACGTAATCAAAACGTGATATTATAGTGAATAACAGTAAATATAATTTTAATTTTGATAATGGTATGTTATATGAATTCGACAAATAAGCGCTAAACAAACACACTACATGCGATAAATGTGTTAGTGTAGAGTAGATTTATTTAATTGTGGACCCATTAATGATACTTTCTGTCTGTTTAAAGACAATTAAAAAAAATAAATAAAAAATTTTATTTAACCTTTTTTCTATGCACATGAACGTAAGTTCAAATAATAAATCGAAATTAATTTAGAGACGCATTATTAATGAAAACAGGATACTTTTTTAATCTAAAATTCATATTCAAAGATTTTGTGCTCACTATTAATACAATTCTGATCGAATTCGAAATCCTTATCAACGAGTATAATTATTATTGTTAATAATAATAAATATTTTAGTGATTTGCGAGTGTAAAAGGGCATTGTTTCATGTTCATGATAAATTCAATTTATTAACTGTAGTTTTGATTGTACAAAAATTACCAACACCAAATAATATTTGTTGGTTTGGGTTGTAATGAAGTTATATATTATATAACTTAATTTAAACATAATAGAGTTAAATCAATTGAAAATAGTTAAAAAAATCATGTTTTTTTTAATTTAGTTATTTAAAACGCTATAAAAACGTGATGGTAAATTATATAACACGTGTATGATTTAAGTGATCAAGTGTCCATTTCCTTATTTGGGAAAAAAATTGATAATGTATTAAGCAATCGGAGTAATCAACCGACAATTGAGTGTTTCCTGATTTCAAACAGCTATTACATTTTACAGCTTTTCGTCTATATCACTGGTTTTTATTAAAAGATAATTATAATTTATTATTCGGTTAATGAAAGGCAACTATCTGTTATTCTACGTTAAAATGTCTAAAGTTTAAACATATACGATTTGATCACTTACATATTCGATGTTGGACGCAGTGGGGTACGAACAAGGATAGCAGTCCATGTAACTTATACCGTTATCATCTGAGTTGCACTCACAAGTCTGACATGTGGGCGCCGGAGCTGACTTAGCTATTCTCTTAGCAAATACTTGTAAAAACTTTTTGCCCGAATTGGGATTTTTAGTTTCCATTTTATAGTTTGAGAACAATGAACCTAAAAGATGAAAATTGTTTCAGATCGCTCTCTCATGATAAACGTACACAATATGCTTTTATGTAAAGTGGCTAACTGACCGTTAGATTCAAGCACGATCGGAGTGCAGTATCCTAACATGGTCTTGGTGAGTTTTACTTGTTTTCTAAGACTGAGATCTCCCTTGAGTGTTTTAAAATCGTTTCTTGTGTAGGCAGTTTCAGCATCGACTCCTGTTGACAAAACAAAAAAACAATAAATAGATCAATAGACGCACATCATTTTGTAGGACGCATTGTAAGATTTTTACACGGCTCTTTAGATCACATCACACACCAAGGTAAACATAGTAGTTCTGTTAAATCGACCTAAACCTACTGGACGTTATTTTATTTGCATTAAAGATGATAAATGTGAAGAGAAAAAGGTTAAACCGTTCACTTATGCGAGGTCTTTGCACTATCGTCTCGTACCGGCATGTCTGCATCGGTGTGTGTGTGTTACCTAATCCTCTTTTTATATTATTATGTACAATATTATCTAATTCGAATGCTTATTCAGTAAATGTATTCTAAGTGCGAACTATTTTTAAATTCGGTTTTGCGCAAACTACTGTAATGTCGCATAGTCATTTGCAAAGTGATCGCCATACATTAAAGTTAGATAACAATCATTTTCGAATACAAATAAATTAATAAATTACCATATGCGTATATGTTGGTCACAAACATTTTTGACATGCATTTATTCATAAAGTTCATACTTCTAGATTTACTTGTACGAAATAATCGCAAGAGATGAGCTAATTATCAACATTCACTAAACGGAAGTATATACTTTAAGGGAACAGAACATGTGCACAGTTGTGACAATTGGTTATTTGTAGCTCATGAATATGTAATAGGTTATTCGGAATTGAATTAAATTGTACAATAAAACTAATATAATCTAAATACCAGAGAAACATTGAGTTATGCAATATAATTTCATAGATGTTTTGACGTCATTATGTTCATTTTGAAACCAAAGGACAGATGCACAAAGAAAATAACAGCATAAAGTTTTCTAAGAAAGTATTAATAATTTAAACATTAATTACGCTAAATGATTTTATTTTGTTTTATAAATTTATAATGCAAAATAATTTAAGTGTTAAAAATCATAAGTAAGATTTAAATGACTCTTGAATGAAACATTAATTCCTTGTATGCAATCGCAGTATTGCATATGCAATACTATTTAACACACATGTACTAAAAAATGTTTTTTGTATTTAAAATTAATATATATTTATGCGCCAGCCTTAAGCATGTTTTATATAACAATATTTTAAACAATAATTATTTATTTTTATTGTTGGAAATAGTATTACTTAACTGAGAAGACGTTAAATATAATCAATAAAAAATCTTTTACTTCTTCTTCCTCGCCTTTGGGGTTGATCTTTCGTATCCTAAACCTCTACTTAAGACAATCTCCTACCTATACACACACAAACAGTATTCATATCATTTCCAATTACAGCCACCTATTTTTCAATCATTATTTTACTCTTTATCCTTTGATGTTTATTTCCATAATCGTTCTTATAGTTTTTGATTTCTCTCTCCTCATAATATGACCAAATCATCTTAATAGATTGGTAATAATAATAATCAGTAAAAATAAATTGAAGAATCACTTTGATAACTCTTATAAAAATAATATTTCAGTCGAAATAGTATAATATTTCATTAATTCCATAACATTTCAAAATTATTTTGTCGAATTCTCAATAACTACTTTGAAGTGCAATACCATGCTATATACCAAAAAATTAAAAATTAAGTTAGTTCCAGAAAAATGTTATTAGTGATTTCCCAATAACATAGAACGAGCTAAGTTTGTTTGAAGAGAAAATGGGTAAAATAAGGGAGTATTAAAGAGGGCAAATTTAATACTTTTTCTCGTGAGTAGTCATAAGTATAAAGCTATTTAAGGGTTTTACTTTTTTGGTTAGAATTTTCTTCGAATTTTAAAAATGATAAATTACTTATAGCACGTGATTGATTTCAAATCCTTGTTTTTAAACGCAAAATCTTCAAATCACTATCAATGTACTTACTAACTTAGAAAAAAAGAAAATTAATATAATAATTGCATATTGATATGTCTTCCAGGAAGCCATTATACATACATACATATATATATACAAAATAGTACTTTCATACTCAACACAAGTTTTCGCAACTCAAATTTAATTCAATTTATTTCAGAAAATTAATAACAAAAATCGTAAGAATAGATATACATTATATAATTAAAAAAAATTAATTATATTTTTTCTTATAAGCATACACGATTTTCATGAAATTGCAATGGAAGAATATATTTCTATTGGCTTAACTTTGAATGGTCAACAATTATTTTGCAAAACAATAAAAATAAACTGAATTTCAATAAAGCTTTAGTATAAAAAAATCTTAATGTTATTACATACATAGAAGTAATTAAATAGAATAATAATCCTAGTTAAGCTATATCAAAAACAAATATATTTTTTAAATTTTATTCAAACATCTTAGTATGAAATAATTTGTCTGTCATTAATAGTATAACATTTTAAATTTGAAAAAAATGATAACACTCCTCCTTCTATAAGAAAAATTCCATTTGTGTCACTACTATATCACTATATTTACTTGAAAACCAAGATGAATTTCAATACGTATTATATGAAATACTTGTAATGATGACATAATAATATAATATATTAATTATATTATTTTTCAAAAAATTACTGTGTAACATTTAATACAGAAAAATTATTATTTATAATTATATTTAAAAATTAATTATTTTTTTATATAAATACTTACCAATTAACGCGTTTCCAGTTCTAGATTTTTCCACAACAAATTGCTTGTTCATAAGTACGTGCAACTTGATACTTTTTTCGGTAATTATTTGGCTTATTACAGTATAATCCAACTGTAATAAAATACAATACATGAACAAAAACTGTCTACTAATAAATCACAAAAAATGACAATACCATCGTATCGGAAGCGTCACATTCGCTGCACGGGAACAATATGAATATTATTGAGTGCCCAGGTCTGAAACGCAATTTCGAGGCATATCTGATGGCGTTGAAAACATCAGAGTTACCTTTCCCTGTAAAACCAAGAAAAATATAATTTTCAAATGTATCAGATATATTTAATTTATATATTAATTTAAATAAATTTTAATTTATTCAAAAATATATATTATTTGAATTCAATAAAATCGAAATAAAAAGTAATAAATGGTGAATTATTTAACCATTGTTTACCATAGTGAATATTGCTAAGATATTGGGGAAACAAAGCAGGACTTGTGAAAACTTGACCATTTATAACGATGCTGTGAGGATTGTCATAAACACCATCGCCTCCGAAGAAAACAGCTGAAAATCTATAACAAACATTTATATCAGGGCTCGAAACTGTTAAAAAATAAAGGATTAATCGGCTTGGGTAAATACCGAATTTTATTTAAAATCGATAACAGGTATAAGATTACCGGTTTTGTAATTATCATATTTTTTAGAAAATCAAAAAAAATAGAAAAAACATTAACTGCATAAACCAGTTATGGGTTTTCGAATTATAAAATAAAATTTTAAAGTATATATTTTCAAATATAAAAATTCGCATTGAAGCTAAAAAAAAATTAACTTGGGTTAGTCGTTTTTGTTAAAAAAACCGATTCTCTAATGTGTTGGATGAATGGTGGTTATAAGTTAATAATTAAAAAAAAAATTCAATTCGTATACATAATACAGTGATTTAAAAAAAAAAAAAACAAGAACCATATTTTTTGATTTAAAAAAAATAAGTGTTAACTAGTTAACGGAAAAAATAAGTAACCAGTACAAGTTCTAATTTATATATATATAATGAAATTAATCGTCCAAACTTTGAAATATTTTATTATAAATACACTAAAACCAAAAATCAATAAAAAAAATTAATTTTCATTACTTAATCAAAAAAAATTGTTTATTTAGGTCGAATATATTAGTTTTTACTATAAAGGCCTTAATGGTTATTATTTGTCCTTTAATTAACAACCCGAAGAAGTATAGTATTCATTTCAATAATTTTAATTAGTAAATTGGTTACCACAATAATGTTTGTCTAAACATTTGTAATCTATGTTTATAACAATAGTATAATAGTATAGTACAGTAGCGCAACTAGGATTATTTTGAGGGGGGTGTCTGCCTCATTAAAATACCTTACCCCGTAACATATTTCAAAATACGTCTCTGGTATCGAGTTTTTGATAAACTAAAAATGCATAATATCACAGATATAAATCTTAAAAAATATATATATATTTTCAAATGTTTGTTTCAGAGCTTAAAAATATTATGTTTTGTTACATATTTATAAATAATTATAAATATAACTACTTTAATAAAAATTACAATCAATTTTTAAAAACATTTTATATTACAAAATCTAATCGTCTTTTTTTCTCACTTAACTGTTTAATAATTTCATCTGTAGTAACTGTAATTTCGCGGTGAATATTCAAAGCTGCTAATCCATTAAGTCTAAATGCTGATATAGAGTTTCTGAGATAAGTTTTAACTCTTTTTAGAGTTGAAAATGACCTTTCAGCTTCACATGAAGTTACAGGTAACGTTAAAAGAATTTTCAACAATTTATACACGTTGGGATATAGATCAATATTGCAATTACTAATTACTTCAATAGCAGTAACCATTTTTAAATTGGTTTCGACACGTAATTTAAAAACTTGATGATGCCAAATTTTTACTTCAGCTAAAACATTTGATGAATTTTCTACATCGTTAGCATAAAATTCCGCCAAATTTTTTATTAATTTTTCTTGTTGTTCAGTAAGAGGTGCAATCGGGAAAAGCAATTGAAAACCTTGAATAATTTCATTATGATTAATAAATCTGTCATTTAACTGACTAATAAATGTATCTAAAAAAGGTATAAATAAAAAAACTTTAAAATAATCTTGAACTGTATTATTGGGAGTATTCTGACTATAAGTGTGTCTTTTTGTAATTCTTGGAATTTTTATCTCAAAATCTAAATCATTTGATTTACTTTGAAGTTCTTCAAAACATTCTAAGAACTCTTCATCGACATTATTCCTAATTGAATTTATTTGAAGTATCACATTGTTGACATATTCTAGAGCTTGAATAAGATCTATGTCAGGTTTTTGTAAGTATTTGCATAAAGATACAGTATACCGAAATATTTTTTTTAAAACAATAAGACTTACATTAAATTCACAATTTTTTAAAGCTAATAATAATATATGAGCTTTAGTAGATGTTTCGTTGTCTGCCCAACTAGTCATTTCTTCTAAACACGAATGGACAGCAGGAAGAAGTTGATCAAACACTTCTACTGAGTCATGCCTTTCAACCCATCTTGTCATACATAATCGTTTTAGTTTTTCTTTATGAGTATTTTCTTGATTCAGTTCTTTGACATGTTTTGAAAATGCAGCTTGTCTTTTTGGAGTATTTAAAAATACGAAAACTTTTTCGATTGTACCCATAGTATTTCGAATGGATTGTACACCGCAAGCATAAGTTATAGCTAAATTTAAACTGTGCGCACTGCAATGAACATATATAGCAGTTTTATATTCTTTTTTTATGCATGATTGTACACCATTGAATCTCCCACTCATCGATGCAGCTCCATCATAACCCTGTCCTCTGATGTACTGCATTTCAATTTTCATGTCAGTAAGTTCTTTAATAATTATACTTGCAAGTGCGCTTCCACTTAAGTCCATAACAGGTACAAATTTTAAAAATTGTTCTTTTATTATTTTACTTTTAGAATCAAAATAACGAACACATAACGAAAATTGTTCAATGCCAGCCACGTCTGCCGTTTCGTCAGCTATTACCGAAAAACATTTACTATTATTGATTTCATCAATGATTTTAAATAAAATAATATCATGACAAGAACTGATAATTTCGTTTTGAATCTTCCAACTTGTATACTGCGCGTTTTTTGCACAATTTGTTCTTGCCAATTCGTAAGATTCATCACCAGACAACTTTGTCGCATTCATATGAAATCGCATTAAAGCTCTAAAGTTACCGTCATTTTCTATTGGGTTTTCCGTCGTTAGCATTCCAAAATCCCGATGTCCGCGTAAGGCAATTCCCTGTCTTCCGCAAAAAACCACAGATTCGATTACTGGAATAATTATTTTTCTATTCAATTCTTTCTGCATTTTAGAAGCTTTATTTAATTGTAAATCTATTGAATCTTGTTTTCCAGCTTCAATAGCAACAATGTTCTGATACTCTTCAACTGCTTTGAGGTGATAATTACACTTTTCGTGAATATTAAATTTTTCTATTGCTTTATACCAAATTTTAAAAGGCTTAAGACTAAAATTACCCAAAACCTGAGAACCTCCTTCCGTTTTATTAAATATAACACAATACTTGCAATACGCGCCGTCTTCTTTATGTGAATACGCCAACCAAATCCATTTCTCCAACCAACTAAATTGAAACTTCAATTTTTTTTTGTTTTTAAATTCTGTTGTTGGGAAAATAAATGTTTTTTCTGGGGTCCATGTGTTTTGAAAAAAATCTATTTTTTCTTTATTTGATAACTTTTTACCAACACATAATTCAATATCAAATAAACTAACCTGCAGATTATCGTGCTGACAATGTACATTTTCTATTTGTTGGCTTAAATCATCTTCCGGACAAAATTTCGCATTATTTGTATTTAATTCCTGCCGCGGTACTTTTTTGGCAAAAAAGTCAGTTATACTTTTATTAACACGTTTACTCATTTTACGAAACAGTATATTATATTGTAAGATTAGAAATACAAAACCTAATCACGTTTATATAATATCTTATATCGCACATGCACACAAATACGTAGATAACTCAAAGAACCGACACTGAGAATAAATATCGGACAACTGATGTTATTAATTTATCAATATTATTAGACTTAATATAAACTAATAATAACTTAGATGGCCACGTGGTCGGTTTTCGTATTACAAATTTACATCAATATCTAATTGCCTATCATAAAAGATAAGAACCTGAATAATGTAAATTATTTCTAAATATAATAAAAATAAAAATAGTTTACATCAAGATTCAAATAATATTCTTATTTTAACCAAGATAAATATTTCTGAATTTATACATAAATTATTATGGACTTTCATAATAATATTTTAAACCATTTGTTCTGATAAATCGTCTGCATTATGAAGACTGCAATATTATGATTTTTATGTTATAAATTTAATATAAATAGATCACTTTTCAATAGTTATTAAATAAAAAATACGGTCCAAGGGGGGTGTCCAGACACCCAAAACACCCCCCCTGGTTGCGCCACTGGTATAGTATATATAATGTGTATAAGCAATGTTGTATAATAGGGTTATAAATTTTCAAATGTGTAATAGTTTCATTATTATTTATCAACATTATGATACATCGACAGAGCTATTTTTACAAATTTATTTGGATGCTGGTGTATCAGAAAAAAAAGTTTACTTGTTGTTAGTGATTCCGATATCGTGCAGCTCTTTAATAAGCAACGTCAAAAGAGTAGTCACGTTTTGTTTTTCAGAGAAATTTTTGTTGCACTCCTTGGCCTCGATGATGAATACTATGTCAGCTGATGAAGGTACATGGCTACCGTTGAACTTTAGGAAATCACCTTCGGTTATTTCTGTATGATTGGCGCCAGAACATCTGAAATAATATTTTATGATTTTTTTTCTTTTATTAAGACCATGTTTACGAAATTATAACCTCTAAAAATATCTAAGGCCAAATATAGGTTTTATATCCCGGTATCATACACATATAAGTAGTATTAGTTAAAGGAAATTGGAAACAACTCCCACAAATTAAAAAAAAATTGAAACCTCTCAAGTTTGATGTTTGATTTGTCAACAATAATTAGTTGTATTAGTTACATTACCTAATGCAATTTGTGGGCACTCTGACTGGTAAATTTTCAATGGAGCACGTTTCACTGTACGCAGTTGCCGATGTACACGTTTCATTTCTGTTAGTGTTTTTCAAACATAAATCATAGTAAGGGTTTGGGTTGATCTAACAATAAAATAAGTTAATTTAAATTAAAATTCAATAAATAAATATAAGTAAAGTAAAGTAAAATATGACTTGTTTATTTTTGTTTTCAATTGTAAAATCACTATCTAACTAGAGTGAGATCAAAACGTCATATGAAATTTACATTTTATAAATTAAATTATTTCCAGTTAAAAAAAAAGTTTGAAACTAAATTATTTACCTTTATGTTTATTTTGCAAAAGGTAATGATGCAAATAAAAATTCCATTTTAAGGTTTATCTGCAAGTTTATGATACGTTTATCTAGTAAATGTAATTCGAAATTCAATAGCAATTGTTTTAAAAGGTCACAATTATAATTTAAATTAATTAGCTGGATAGACTAATGCTACCATTTATTTTGCATCACAGACAATTTGGACAAAATGAATACTACAATTATTAGAACATGTTCATAAAAAAATTAATCATGACCTATAAAATTTGGCTATTAAAACAAAAATTCAATACGAAATCGAGATACATAAAGCGTGGATAGATTATTCACTTAAATATTGAATATTTTATAAATATATAATACGGATTCATTAATAATATAATTAAAATTATATGATTTACTTTACAATATACTAAGGGTTATTAGAAAGTTTTATTTTAGAGATATTAGTTTACCACAGAGAAACATGTAAACATTGGGGATGTTTTATGTTTGAAGTAACTATCACACAGTTCTATAATTTGTGGGTTGCCTATTGGTCTTCGGGGATTAGCTGAGTAAGCACTACAACTTTCATCATTTAACGCCCAACTTTCAGTGAACTTGGACAAGTCGGATTCCAAGTAACCACTAGACGTCAGCATATCATCACTAGGTTCGTAGTCTAGAGTACCTAAAAGACCAGCCGTTTTTCCATAATACCACCCTAAAAAAATCGATTGAGTTTATTATATCAACTAAGTAAAATAAAAAACAACATGAAATTATTTTTTGTAGTTTTAAAATTAATGAATATGAAAAATTGATGATACCTTGAGTTGAACCACTTGGATCTAATTAAAAATTATAGCTGTATTGAAATGTAGATACAATAAAGAGATTATTTCACCGAAATGAGTTTTTATTTTAATATAATGGAATTAGAATAATTTTTGTCCTCTTATATAATGTTTTATACTTAACTATTGTTAAATATGTGAAATATTTGTAATAAATAATAATTGTTGATTTCAACATATTTAATTGAATAAATTAAATTGATAAAATATCAGCATATAGAGAATATGAACATTTTTAAGTATATTATGTTTGTTACCTGATACATGAAACGTGCAATATTGGAAGTTCATATTGCATACAAGCGATATACCTTTTTCGTTATCTACTATAAGCATTTCGTTTTCATAATAGATAACAGTGTTGTTTAGTTGTAATGGGAGCTGTTTTGTGCTGTCTGGCAGTACTTTGACGTCCTAGAAAAGATCAAATTTATTATTAATAGTATTAACTAAAAAAATAACTCGAGACCAGACAGTACTTATAGTATAATCAGAGATTAGTACGATCTCATTTATTTTTAAAATTAATAGATTAATAAAAAAAAACCCAGTACAGGGGGACGCGGCACAATGGAGACGTGGCATAATGATATTTGACAGTGATTAAAATCACTATCGTAAAAAACACTTCGATGCAAATCTTTAGATAGTGTTTAATTTTAATAAGTTGGTGGATTATTCCAAAAGCTATATAATTATATAGCTTATAATCTAAAATAATCCAAAAGATTATAAAAGATTATAATCTGCAATTTCCTTATTTATATCCTGATTAAGTATGTTGAATTAAAGAAGTATATAAATATTATTTCTCATAAAAAATTTTTATTAATCCATACATTTTTCAAAAAGTTATAACATTTTAAAGTTAAAAATGTAAAATATAAAATCGAGAATTTTAATACAAAAATAGCATTTGGTAGTCATTTTCACCATGAAGACAAAATAGAGTCCGAAATTTTTTTTTTATAATAGAGTATGGGGCGTGGTGGGCACGGTGGTCACACTAGTTGTTGACAAAACTCTAGTGTTAACGCGCGCCTACCGCCGTGGGTGAACGGATGGGTGACCATGCGTGCACTTCAATTTTTTTTTTTTTATAAATTTAATCCTTCACCAGCCCACAAGGGGGATTCAAAATGACAACTTTTTCACAAAAAATTAACTTTTTCAACTTAATATTTGATAGTGTTCCGGAAATACTGACACTTTTATATATATCTTAAATTAAAGCTAATGTAATATAATTTATTATAGAAAAAAAAAATTTCGAACTTCATTTTGTCTTCACGGTGAAAATGGCTACCGTATGCTATTTTTGTATTAAAATTCTCGATTTTATATTTTACATTTTTAACTTTAAAATGTTATAACTTTTTGAAAAATGTAAAACCATTATCCTAAACTTCTACTTGACACAATCTCTATTCATCATATACACACTCAAGATCCGTTCTTATATCGCATACAATTACATTCCTCCATCTCTTTTTATTACTTTTATTGCATAACATACCAGAGGCTTCTCTCCACTTTAATTACCCGCACTTAATCTCATGTCTTACATCCTCGTCAATACCACTCTTTTGCACAAATGACCCTAAATACTTAAAACTTTCTACCTCACCAATCACGTCCTCGCCTATTGTCACTAATCTCTTCATTTCACCTACCTCATGTTTCCTTAGTGAAACAAATATTTTCTCAATGATAATTTAACTAAAATTTTTTTAAATTGTAGTTTGATAATTTAATTTTTACAAATAAATTTTTATAATAATCTAAACTATTGCTTAAAAGTCGGGTAAAAAAATATGAAAAATGGATTAACCTTATTTTATTTTTACAAACCTTTCGCACAAGATCTACAGAAACAGTTTCTGAGCCCAAAATTAGTAAAATGTTGTAATGACTTTTGATTTCGTCATTGAAACTGAGAACCAACGAGAACTCCCGTCCTACAAAATCATTGGCTAACAAATACGAACAATGTCCTTTGAAGTCGTAATGTCTCTGATCAAACGTCATAAAGTGTTGTGATCCGACTATCATAGCGTGAGCTGTTACAATAAAGTAGAAAGTTTTTTAATAAAACACTAAATTTATATAATTATTTGTTTATTTAAAATATGTTTATAAAAGATAATTGTTAACAAATGGAAATAATTATAATCATTTATAATTGAAATTATTTTATTGATATTTTTTTCGGTATATATCTCGTACACAAGAAAATCCTTTTTAAATATAACACTTTTATCAAAACTATGTTTAATACTCGATTAAGATAAGTGATTTTTTTAATGAAATATATAAAACAGTAAATGCAAGATTAGTAAAATTATTACCCGTTTACAAATAAATTTATTTTTCTGACTCGGTTGATTAACCTTGATAATTGTTTTTTAATAAAATTTTGACATATAGGACTTCTGGTGTTAATTAATTACTCCCAAAATGTATTTTTCACAGAAGCAATGCACGATAGACATTTACTGTATAAGTAACAATTAGTGCTTAAAGAAGCATTACGTAATAATTTTCTTATAAAGTGCTTAAATATAAATTTCAAATGAAATTAAAAATTATAGTTAAATTAGACGTGCGGGTACTAAATATGTATGGATTTCAGAAATATTTTTTGATTTTGAGAAAACCAAATATGACATTTTTATTTATCATATAACATCATGTATAAAAAAAAACCCAGAATAGTGGGGTCACGCCACAATGAGGACATAACATAGTTGGGTTTAGTATAGATTTAATCTGACAGTGATTAAAATGACTATCATAAAAAGCGCTTCGATGCAAATCTGTAGATAGTGTTTAATTTTAAAAAATTGGTAGATTATTCCAAAAGCGACATGATCTCCTATTTCTTTATTTATATCCTGATTATAAGTTTTATAATTTATAAGTGTATTAAACGAATAAATGTTTATTATAGAAATTAAAAATAGTATGTAATTGATATTTAATAATTTAGTATTGTAATTTTTTACATAAACCATTTTTTTTTTTTTGTTAACTTTGATGTTAGTTTTTACTATGACAACAAAATAAAGTCCGAAATTTTTTTTTCATATTAAAATATATTACATAAAGTTTAGTTGAGGATATATATAAAAGTGACATTTGTTCTGGAATATTTTCCAAAATTAATTTGAAAAGTTCTTTTTTCTATATGCATTTTTAAGTTTTGAACCCCTCCTGTATAAAAGGGAAATGATCCAATTAAAAAAAAAGTATGTCACATAAGAGAAGTATATAATTAGTACTTATCATAAAAAAAATTATAATGATCCATACTTTTTTCAAAAAGTTACATCAAATTAAAAATTTTAAATAGAATTTTTTTAAAAAATCGTATTCTTTTTATTAATTTTGATGTCTGTTTTCATCATGGAAACAAAATTAAGTCCAAAGTTTTTTCTTCCATAATAAAGTATATTACATTAGCTTTAATTTAAGATATATATATAAGCTCAGTATTTTCGGAACACTTTCAAAAATTAAGTTGAAAAAGTTGTCATTTTTAATTCCCCTCTGTGGGCAGGTAAAGGGTCAGATTTATAAAAAATATATACAGAATAATAGGTATTTATCAATTAATTTATATCCACAAAAAAATAAATAAATCGATCTATACATTTTTCAAAAAGTTATGGCAGTTTTAAGTAAAAAAAACGGTAGCACAGTGGGGTCGCGGCATAGTAGAGACATTGCATAGTAGGGTCCAGTATAGATTTAATCTGACAGTGATTAAAATCACTATCATAAGAAACGCTTCGATGCAAATCTGTAGATAGTGTTTAATTTTAAAAAATTGATGGATAATTGCAAAAGCAACATCAACTTCTATTAAAATAAAATACAAAACCCATAATTATCATACAAAAATAGTATATTTTTCAATATGGTAGCCATTTGCGTATAGAAGATAGATCGTCGGGACAAATTTTTTTTTTTCATTTTGTAGTACATAAAATAAGCTTTAATTTTATATATGTTTAAAGGACGCAGTATTTCCGGAACATTTTCAAAAATTAAGTTGAAAAAGTTATTTTTTGTAAAAAAGTTACTATTTTAAATCCTCCCAGTGAGCAGAATAAGTGTTAGATTTTCAAAAAAAATTATATCAAATGAAAGGGAAATATCTAAGGTTTCAATACAAAAAAATATTATTTTTATTTGTTCATTTTTGAAAAAGTTATGGCAGTTTTAAGTACAAAAAACATCCCGATAAAATGTAATTTTTATCGCAAACATTACATTTTTTTTTAAATTTTCGACAGCCATTTGCACATAGAAGATAAGATGTCGGGACAAATTTTTTTTTTTCATTTGATAGTATATAACATAACCTTTGATTTGATATATGTTTAAAGGACGCAGTATTTCCGGAACATTTTCAAAAGTTCAGTTGAAAAAGATCTATGTTTTTTACAATATTTTAAGTTTTGAACGCCCCCTATATAAGGGGAAATTGTCCAATTTTAATAAAAAGTATGTCAAATGAAAGATGTACTTATAATGTATTTAGAAAAAAAAAATTTGTGCTGATATATACATTTTTCAAAAAGTTATAGCATTTTTAAGTTGAAAATTTAAAATCGAAAATCGAAAATTTTAACACAAAAATAGTGTTTTTTTAACTACGGCAGCCGTTTAAATGTAGAAAAAAAAGTGTCGGGACAAATTTTTTTTTTTCATTTTGTAGTACATAAAATAAGCTTTAATTTGATATATGTTTAAAGGACGCAGTCTTTCCGGAACATTTTCAAAAATTAAGTTGAAAAAATTAATTTTTGTAAAAAAGTTGCCATTTTAAATCCCCCCCAATGAGCAGGTTAAGTGATAGATTTTCAAAAAAATGATATCAAATGAAAGGTAAATATCTAAGGTTTTAGTATAAAAAAAAATTATGTTGATTTGTTGATTTTTCAAAAAGTTATGGAAGTTTTAAGAAAAAAAAGTGAAAAAATTTCGAAAATTAGCGATTTTTAAATTTGTAATTTTTTTGGATATTTCCCCCATTTGCGGGGAACGAGGGAATTTTTTTCAATTTTTAAGGGTAATGTCTTCAACTAGATACGATTTGTGATCTTTTGACGTATTTTTGAAAGAAATCGGTCCAGTGAGAGCTGAGAAAAAGTGGCAACAGACATAAAAAAAAAAAAAAACACATCATAGTAAAATTAATACCTTCTCCGCTTCGCATCGAAGCTAAAAAATTAAAAATTAGCAATTTTTAAAATTGTAATTTTTTTGAAGAATTCCCCCATTTACAGGGAACGAGGGAAATTTTTTCAATTTCCATACTAAACTTAAATCCACAAACTTGAAATTTTCTAAAAATTAAAAAAAAAAAATTATATCATATATATTTAATGAATAGGATAAGGGTAGTCGACCTCAAATAGTTGGAATGAAGGTGAAGAAAAAGAAGAAATATTTAATGAATACGTTAAACTGATGAACATGTCCCTTTTCTGTAGAAACATTATTGCAATTTTTTTTAGATAAAAATTTAAAAATTAATTAATTTAAGATATAGTTATTGCTTTAAAGAAATTTGAACACCAATTTACCTGTACCTAATTAAATGAGGAAGACCGTTAACTCCCTTTATTCTTAAAATAATACGTTAATGTAATGTTCTAACGTGTAGGATACGTTAAAAAAGATAAGGGGTGTTCATATTTTTGGATTATTAAAAATATTTTTTAGATGAGATGTTAATGATATTATATTCCAAACTTTTTATTCTAGTTTTACTTGTGGCAAATAATCAATTTTAATATTTATACTTGCAATGTTAAATTACATAAAAAATAACTAATATTTTATAAATATTATAACCTATTACCTCGGAATGGAGGAAACCAATTTGTGTAGTCTGTAAATGGCATCAAATTATAGTAAAGGAACCAAAATGTTACGTTGGATGGTGCAAACATACTGAGCATCTTTGTCACTATTTTGTATTCGGGAATTTCCTAGAAATCGTTAAAAAATTCTAAATAGTTAAATCAAATAAGATAAGATGAATCAAACTTGTGTTTACCTCATATTTAGGTGTTTCGTTGAATGCGTGCCAAGAAAAAGGTAATTTTTGTTCTAACTCTAAAATACCCTTTCCTGGGTCACATATAAATTTTGTTTTTGGTTTGTGGTATCTGGTTTGTGATATCAAAAAAAGTACAATTAGTTAAATAAATTACTAATTTAAAAAGTAAACTTTCAGTTTACTTTTTAAAAATAAACTTTAACATTGATTAGACGTAAGTTAAATCAATTAAGCTAAACATTTAGAAGATTGCTAAATTTGTTTACCCCCCCCCCCTTAAAACTATTTTTATATAATAATACATTTTATTTTTTTGGATTTTAAAAGTGTTGTAACCAATTTCTTTCTTAGTGAGTTAAACTAACATTACTTTTTATTTACATTGTACAATTTTTTAGGTACAATGCTTTATTGTTATATAATATTAAATTTAAATTGTAAACATATAATATATATAAAATTATCTTACTTCATTTCATTTTCGACTGCAGTGTAAGTCAAGTCGTATACTCGATTGATCAATGTAGGAATAAATTTTTGAATTTTTTTACTAAGATCGATGTAGTCACAAAACCAAATTACCTATACAGCATTATTATAATTAAATAGTTTAGAAAATATAAACTTGAGTTACTTACTTGATTATATGTAGTCTTCAAATTGTCTATAACGTATGATATAAGTGGAAGTTTTAGTAATTGCTGAACACCGTCAATTATTTCTAATCTTAGAGCATTAATCTCATTTGCTGCAAAAATAAATCAAAGATAATTGACATTGAACTCATTAAATAGCGTGGTGTCGGCATAATGGACTTCGAGAACGAACATGTGGAGGTAAAGTTAAAAAATTAATATAATCCTCAAATATTATAAATTCATCCTCATATATTCATATATATATCATATATATACATATATCAGATATAATTAAAAAGTACATAATTTATAATGAAATCATGAATAAAAATATTAAATGTATAAAAATAAAAATATAATTTATAATTTATTTATTTAATTATTAGTAATTGTAAATTTTTTAAATGAAAAAAGTTTTTTTTATGTATAAATACAACATTAATATTAGCGATATATTAAGTTTAAAGTTTAAAGAATATATTAAACATTTAAATAGATATAAAATTTAGTTATATGTTTAAAACAGTAAGTTGTTTGTTATTGTCTAAAATACATATGTATAACGACTCAGTAATGATTGTTTTGTCTGTACTATAATATTGAAGAAAATGCAATGACTTGGTTATACAAACATGACTTCAAATAGTACAATGTTGCCTACAATGAAGGCAATGACTTAAATGTTTCTACAGTAAAAAATCGTTTTGATAATATTTATTTATAAATTTCTGTTTTTTGAATACAAAGAAGTTTGATTAAAATTTATTTTTTGCTACTTTATCAGTTTAATGTTGTACAGTATTCTTTTTGTATTTTATTTAGAAGTATTTATTTTTTATATTAACTTTATCTTTTAAATACGAGTACAATGACATTAAAATATAGACCTAACAGATTTAAATTTTATTTTCATTTTACTTACCAAATGGTATAAGAGGATAATATCTCGCCTTAAATAGATTGTATAACATAGTAGAATATTTTTTTAAGTTAGTAAGAAAATCATTTTGCATTAAGTCTTTGTAAAATTTGTCCAAGTCCTGTGTCATATTTTGTGTTTGAGCATAATAAGGTGATTGCATCAGCTCTTGTTGTCTAGCGTACAAAAACTCTGAAAAACACAAAACTATTATAATAGAGTATTCTTATGAATTCGTAAATGATAAGAGGCGTTTGTTTTGTTATTATAACTTACGGATTACTTTTTGAAAAGCTGAAACAAACACAGATTCGATGTGATGGAAAATTTGCAATACTGTCGGTTCAATTGTCTTCATTACGTTACTCCAGTACCCTGCCACAGTGTTAGAAGATTCTTCTAACATACTTTCTACATACCGTATAAATGATATGTGAACATCGCGTATAAGCTGTCAATAAACAATTAACATTTTTGTCAAACTATTATGTACTCATTAAATTTTATTATTTAGAATTAATATACAAGTTAATAATGTTAGAATCAAATTTTTCGAATATATATATATATATATATATATATAAGTTTTTTGAATCGAACATAATCAAAATATTATTTTATTATTTTAAATATAATTTTTTTTTTTAATAAATAAATTAAATATTCACTCATGCGTTTTAAAGCTTTAAAGAAGAAATTAAATTATTGAGTATGAACCACTAGAAACTCAAATTTAAACAAAAAATTAGTATTTAGAGGTAAAAATGTTTAATATTAAGCTCACAAATTACAAATTAGGGTTAACATAATATATAAAAAGTTATGGTATAAATTTACTATAAGTCTTAAATTTAGATATGTACGTAACTTAAAATAATATTTTAATAGTATTAATAATACATTTTCTTACTTTATCATATTTTGACATAGAACTGCTTAGTAAATCAGATAAATATACAAATGCCTCGCCTTCCATTAATCGCTTCAAAATTCTTCCAAATTCTTCATATGCTATTTTAATCTATTGTATAGTTGGAGTATTAGTAAAAATAATTGTATATGAAAGAAATTTGATGATTAAAAGTCAAATAAATATTTAATAAGGAAAATAAAAAAAAATTTATTTGGCAAATAAAAAATAAAGAAATACACATACATTATCAATAAACCATAATATAGATTTCCGTATAGTTTTTCCAGTATCTCCCAATGCGGTCCAAATTTCGCTGACAACTTGGGGTAATGAACCCATTTTGTCCCTGTATAAAAAAAACACTTGTAGTGAATAACGTTTTTATATAAAATAACTGTTAAGTGGTATTTTTGGCACAGTTTTATTTGTATTGTCTTATTGGTACTTACATAAACGAAGAATCTTCCATTAGGGCAATATATACTCCATGAATATCTTTAAGGTAAAGCTCATTAGCATTATATGAATTATTGAATACAGTTTTGAAGTATGCCCAGTCTTCTTCCAAAACGTGGTAATTGCTGTGTATATATAAAATATATAAACCGTAGACTTATCAGTATTTAAAAATTATAATACTTAAGCCTTTAGTATAGCTTTGGTGAAGGTGAAAAAAAATATATCCCATTTAAATCCTACTATTATTAATTCATTAACCAAATTTAAATAAACATTGTATAATATATTAGGGTGTTCAGAAAATAAGGAAACGGGTGTCTATTGTTCTCATTGTTTATAATAATTGATCTGTTTTCTTATTTACTGATCATTCTGTATAATCTAAAGTAATTTATTTATTGATAACAATTTTAATAGATTTTAATCAAAACTACAATATTCACATGTTTTTTATTGTAAGCCTTATTTTAAATAATTTGTCAATATAATATCCTATCTTTCTCAATACATCATGCAAAAGGTAAATGTAGCTTCATAGTTTCACAAGGATTATAGCTATTTTTATAGCTATATTATATTTTATATAAGGTATTGGTATACCTTATATCATTGAGGAATTCTTGTATCTCTGGTTTTGTGTCTGTCCAAATACCACTAACAGTTTCTATTGTTTGAGACTTGAAGTACTGAGTCCAAAACTCGGTAGTGTCTTGGATGTAAGTCCATGTTTGGTTCACTGACGTACGTAAAGTACTCTAAAAAAATCACTTATATATATTATAACATATCAAAAAATACAGTAAAAATATTGGTATCCGTACAACTATGCTGTCTTTTAGATCTATTCTCCATGTAAGTGCTGAGGATAGAAGTCTTGAGTGATTTAGTCCTAAAGAAAACTGTAAGTCTGGTATAATAAGACCATACTTAGTCCTCCAAATATTAAATTGTGCGTTTTTACTTTCTAATACATTTCCGGACATGTGTAACTGATGGGAAGCATCTAAAATTTCAATGTATGGATTATTTTATTATATCGTTGTGACGACATAACTAGTTTTAGTTATTATCGAGGTGGACATAATGCCCATGCACTCAGACCTGTTGGTCCATTGTACGCACCTCATACCGAATTGTCTTGATTCGGTTTACCCACCTAAGTGTTATCACCAAAGTGTTAATACATTACCAACCATAAAGTTACCTCTAAAGATGACCAAAGAGTCCTGTCTTTCTGGTGAAATTGAGTATCTCTCTGGGTTTTAGGTTTTTAATACCTTCTTTTGCAGGAAAAGGTTTAGACGACATAACTAAAAATGAATTATTTATTACCTGGAGTAAAATTTACAGCAAGGCCTGTATCCTTATGGGGTATATTTATATAAAATTTCCCAACTGCGGTATCATCATTTCCTTTGTGTAACAAAATATCAATGTTATGGGTACCCTCGTAGTTGTTGTAGTTGCCGTGTAAAACAGTCACGTCACGGAACGAATATTTCTATGAAAATTGTATTATATTTTTTATTTTTAATAATTAATTAAACTTGTTATTATGCACTATAATAGATTTCACTTAAAATTCAACACACAACATATAATTAAAAGAATGTGCACATCCATAATATCTGACAACTTATTACGAAATCTCAAACTCAACGGAAAGAACCCAATTTTAATCTAATTGATCTTAATAGAACCAAAAATTTAAAAAACCTTCTTAATTCTATAAATTTAAAAAAACATTTGATATTTATGTTACCGTAAAAAATGACATTTCCAATATTTTTTTCTGCATTTTAAAATCTCTATTACTTTTTCTTAAAAACTCTGACATTAATGAAATTGGATAAATTATATTAAACACAATACGCTTTCTTTAAGTGTGCTTCTTTTATAAAAATTCAATAAAAAATCTAAGTACAAAAGCGTTTGAAAGAGTAACATGTAATAAAATTTTTCAATTCAATTTTTGAAATTGTTTCGGAACGCCTGCATTATTTTAACCTTTATAAAATAGCTATTGATATGTAAAACAATATTAAAGAAATAATCTCACAATTATTGGAAAAACTACAAATATACAAATTCTTGTGAAATTTAAAGAATTCGCATTGAAATATTTTTTATTATGTTTATCACTGTCAGATATCATATAAACTTGTCCCAACAATGCAGCGACTCCACTCCGCTGGGTTTATTAATATTTACCCGGAGAAAGTAATAAAATAACCAAAGTTTATCTATGAAATATATATTTAAACATTTCTTAAAATATACAGAGTGATTTTTTTATCATAACCCACTCAATTACTTACAGAATAATAATAATTAAAAATTTTTTTTTTATTACTATCATTAGTTACACATTATTCTTGAATTATTAACTATGTAATACTTTTTAAGTTTATCCCTTATGCCTGGTAAGGGTGTCAACTTTGTTTTTTTAAATGGTAACACGTATTTTTAATTTAATAAAATGTTTGAGTTTTTAATTCAATAGTAAATGGCATTTGAATTTTTAATGAAACTTAATTTGTTTATTAGATATAAACATTTAAAGTTTCAAATTTTTGAGTTAATATACAGAGTGTTCAGTAAGTCAGGAAACGGGTTTCTATTGTTCTCATTGTTACAAACAATGAGAACAATAGAAACCCGTTATACTGAACACCCTGTATAGGTATAATACACAAGGGATTACAAATACAGGTAGCTAATTGATTTTTTATGACATCGATATTAGCAGGTACACAGCATTGTTATTATCAATGATAGTAAGGTACATTGTTGTGAGTTTATAAATACACTAACTGACAATACAAAAAGTATATCTATTGATAGTCATAATTGATAATAAACAATCCGTGACTGTGATAGCAATATCATAATGAACTTAAAAAGTATTACATAGTTAATAATTCAAGAATAATGTGTAACTAAAGATAATAATAAAAAAAAAATTTTTAATTATTATTATTCTGTAAGTAATTGAGTGGGTTATGATAAAAAAATCACCCTGTATATTAATTATTTATTTAATTCATAAATGTCTTAAATTGTTGTCTATACATAAATTAATTTATCATCACTGTTTTTGTCATAATATTAACCTTCAAATATAGGACCATAACATTCTAAAGATAAAAATATTTAAACGCATTTCTTAATTATAAAAGCTTACTTCAATACTGATGGTTTTGTTAATAAAATCTAGTTGACCCTTGCCGTCCCAATATTGATCCGGTAAATAAGATCGTTTGTATGTGATGTTGTTATGGAAGAAATGGAAATATTCTTGAGATTTAAAAGTACCAGATGCATCCAATTTAAATCTGTATAAGAAAAATTATTGCATTTAATATATTATAAATATGAAACGTATGAATATATTTTATACCCAGTAATTAAATGTCTGCCTTTGAGTGAGTAGAAGTAATTGCGTTTAGATTTTTGGGAGTTATTTTCAACTAAACAACTAATAGTAAACTTTCTGTTTGGATCTCGAGCATAGTCATAATCTGCATTTAAATCTAACAGTATTGAATTACCACGTGAATAATTTCCTCGTATTGTAACATTCTAAATTAAATCAAAGAATCGTATTAAATTTTCTTAGGTATAGCTAACTCAAAATATCACACATGAAAAAATGGGGAAAAAATGTATAATGCTTTTACTTTTTTGTATATTATACATAGTATTACAATATTATAATGAAGACACGAATAAAAAGAATTTTTAGTATTAAATGTTGTTTTCAAATTATAATAAGAATACTGATATTATAACTAATTACTTTATAAAATGAAGGATGATAGATAAGCATGCCTACGCGATGTCTGTTAACTTTAGATTCAAGTTTTCGCCAATCGAAACGGTAACCAAACACGTAATTGTCGTCAGGATACGGTTTGTGCTGAATAAAAGTCATATGTGACATAAAATATTTAGAGTCTGTTGCTACATCACTGATAACTGAAAAATTTCTTCTAGGATAAGCGATATTAATGTCAATAAGTTTTCCATAATCGTCAGGAGTCTGTAGAATAAACAAAATTTAGACTTTACAATTGTTCAAATAAAAAAAGACATTTGTAAAATGTTGTTTTCATCATTTTAACTTACAGAATTATGATATGATACTTTAAGAGCAGAATTCATCCATGCTTGTGGATTCAGGACTACCATGACGTTCCTTGTGTATGAATCATCAGTTTCATCGTCATAATGTGATTTTATAACAACGCTTCTGTTGAAATTTATGACTGTGAAAACAAATGTTAATTTTAATCTTATAAATAATTTTAAATTATCTTCAATATTTAAAAATTTTTAATTGAAACTTATGATACAATATAACAACATGATAATTGATTTTTTTTAGTTTATTGAATTTTCTAACTGACAGTTCAAAATAAATTCAGTTAAAAATAAAGGACTACATTTATAGTACCTTGTAACATATTCTCTAACAATGGAAAATTGTTTCTACATTTTTTTCTTTTTCTTTAGTAGAATTCAAGAGAAATCATTTGAATATAAGTTATAACAAATGGTATCAAATGAATTAATTTAAATATTTAATTTAATTGCTAATTTTGATTAATTAAAAATCATTAAGTTATCATGGGAAACAATTTTTTAATTATAGATAAAAGGTAATTGTTATTTAATTATTATTTTAATCTATGCAACTTAAAATAATACAAAAAATGAAATACACAGATTTATAAAAAAGATTACGTTACAAAGCATGTGAATCTACAGTAATTGAGAAATCATTATTATATAATATTTTAATAAACTTGATACACGTTTTATTTTTAATAGTAACTATCGCCATTCCAAACAAGACTAACCATAAAAATAAATAGCAATTTGAAAAAAAAATATGGAATATGTGATATATGTAAAATATGTAAAATGTATAAAACTTATTTCTAACCTTTCACTGTTGTATCCCTCACGATTTCGTATTTGTTTTGAATCATTTCTCCCGTCAAGTTGAATTCGGCTGTCTTATAAAGTTTAAACACTTCTAATCTTTTAAAATCCTGAAAATAAGTCGAATATTTCTTTTGTATAAAGTGTATTACACTAAATTTTCTATAAAATTATAATGTATACACAATGAGTATGTGGTGATAGGCGGAGATATGAATAAACATGTAAGTAATGAGAGGAGAGGATATGAAAGAATACATGGAGGGTATGGTTTTAGTGGAAAGAATGAGGCTGGAGAAAGAATCCTTGATTTCATAGTATCGTATGATCTTGTTATGGTTATTACTTATTTTAGAAAGAGGAAAGAACATTATATAACTTATAAGACTGGGAGGAATAGATCACAGATTGATTATTTTATGCGGAAGAGAGAGAGTGTAAAGCGAGTAAAATATTGTAAAGTAATACCAGGCGATAGTGTAACTACACAACATAGACTGATGGTAATGGAGTTTTGATTTACCGGAAAAAGAATAAATAAAAATAGAAGAAACACAGAGGGAAAATCTAAGATCCGGAGGTGGAAATTGAAATTGGAAAATGATTTGCTAATTGTGTAAAGAATACTTTACTTTACTTTACTAAGAAAGAGAAATTAAAATATGGTAGAAGAGCAAAAGGAGAGAAGATTGGATGAAGTATAAACGCTTGTGCAAAGAAGCTAAGTATGCAGTAAGTAAGGCGAAGTTTAAGAGGTATGATGAATTGTATGACAGGCTAGGAACAAAGGAAGGCGAGAAAGAAATCTATAGACTTGTAAAGATAAAAGAGAAAATGTCTAAAGATTATCATTATACAAGGTGTATAAAAAGTGTTGATAATAAAGTACTCTCGAGTGATGGCGATGTGAAAAAAAGGTAGAAAGAGTATTTTGAAAAATTATTGAATGAGGAGTACCCAAAAGAGACATTAGAGGATATCTTGTGGAATGAAGGACTGGTAGATTTAATTAGTGAAAAATAGGTATGGGAGGCTGTGGCATCAATGAAAACGAATAAAGTAGTAGGACCAAATAAAGTGCCACTAGAAGTATGGAAAATATTAGGCGGTGTTGGCATAAGTTGGTTGAAGGAACTTTTAAATAATATCTTATTAGAAGGGAAAATACCAAATTAATAGAGGAATAGTTTTGTGGTGCCGATATTTAAAGGTAAAGGTGACATACAGAAGTGTGGAAATTATATACGCATAATGATTTTGAGTCATAGTATGAAAATTTGGGAAAAGCCAATATATAAGAGAATAAGAAATGAGACATTGGTATCTAAAATCCAGTTTGGATTTATGCCTGGTAAGTCAACAATGAAGTCAGTATTTTTTGTGAGGTAACTAATAGAAAAGTTTAGGGAAAAGAAGAAAAAGCTGTGTATATGGTATTTATATATTTGGAGAAAGCGTATGGCAGAGTACCAAGAGAGGTTTTAAAGTGCGCATTAACGCAGTCCCGAAAAGGTATTTTAATGTAATAGAAGATATGTATGATGACACTTGTACCAGGGTTAATGAGCATAGGAGGAGTATCACAAGGTTTTCGGGTTAGAGTAGGAGTGCACCAAGGTTCTGCTTATTCTCTATAGTGATGAATGAAATTACTAGAGAAATACAAGGAGAAATGTCGTGGTGCATGTTGTTTGCTGACGATATAGTGTTAATAGGAGGAAATTAATCAAAGGTTAGTGGTGTGGAGATCAGCTGTCAAAAACAAAGTTTTAAAAATAAGTAGAAGTAAGAGAGTACGAGATTGACAAAGGAAAAAAAGACGTAGGTGAAATAAGGAGATCAGTGACAATAGGCGAGGACGTGTGGAGAGGTGGAAAGTTTTAAGTATTTAAGGTCAATTGTGCAAAAGAGTGGTGTTATTGACGAGGATGTAAGACACAGAATTAAGTGCGAGTGGTTAATGTGGAGAGAAGCATCTGGTGTCTTATGCGATAAAAGAATTCCAATGAGGCTGAAAGGTAAATTCCTTAAAATAAGGGTGGCCTAACCCATGTAGTTGGGATTAAGGCGAGGAAGAAGTAGAATTAAAATACTGGTAGCTAATTGATTTTTTATGACATCAATATTCCCAGGTACATAGTATTGTTATTATCAATGGTAGTAAGGCACATTGTTGTGAGTTTATAAATACACTAACTGACAATATAAAAAGTATATCTATTGATAGTCTTAATTGTTAATAAGCAATCCGCGACTGTGACAGCAATGTCATAAAAAAACAATTAGCTATCAGTATTTATATTAATAATTCAAGAATAATGTGTAACTAAAGTTAATCAAAAAAAAAAAAATGTTTTAATTTATCCTGTAAGTAATTGAGTGGATTATGACAAAAAAATCACTATGTATAAACTAGGCTTTTCCTAGCTGAGGTTCCACCCCAAACCGGGGGCCCTACGAGCCTAACACGCCTTTGCCGCGTAGGCCTCTTTGTGTTATCCTCGTAGGTAGGCCACTGATTCCGATAGGAGTAGAGCCCTACCGGCTACTCCTATAAGTGTTTTACAGGGAAAATATTACATCAGAATCAGTGTAACAAAAATATATAAAAAATTTAATTATTTAATTCAGGAAAATTCATAAAATGAATATAGAAAATGTATTGGATATAACTTTGACGTTTGTTAATGAGGTATTCCCCTTATTTTGAAATTATTTTAGGAGAGTATTTAACATTTTTTTACTTAATTAAACATACTATAGAATTTTTTTTGCTAAATATCAAAGTGATGATAAAAAAAAGGTCTTTAGGTTCTGATTTTTTAGAAGTTGCCTAAAAAAATATTTATATGGCTGATTCAAGAGGGACCCTTAAACCGTTCATATCCCTCTTAAAAACACTCCTGATATATACAATAATTGTTAATCTTCTAATAATAATAATTGTATTTATATTATAGAATAATTACAAAAAAAAATCGTCAGGTATTATACCTGGAACTATGTAAAAAATTTAATTTTGATAAAAAAAATTGGTAATAGTGATTTGACGTTGGACAGTATAGTTGTCATAGATGGATTCCAATATTTACGATAAACTCATAGACTCATATATGAGATAAATTAGATTATGAATACTGCAATGTTTTGATAATGAATGTACAAATTTAAATACTTAAAACCGTCCTGAAATTTATATATAACATATAACATTCCTTGAAAAAATATATAAAATATAGTGCTATGCTAAAAATTTTCCGACCTCTGTCAATATTTTTCCCGGAGTCTCGTAACTGAGTATTTTCGTTGAAAAAAAATTGAAAATCCGAGCACTCTAAGTAATTTTCCTAGAAAAGCGTTTTTTGCCTTGTTATATTATATAATAAGAGATAAGCGTACTATATGTGGCCGTTCTGGTACGACTAAACGACTTCCGTTATTTGTTCTATGTAAGTACTTCATACCCAATGGAATAAATTTACTTTGAACTGTCAAGTCAATCAAATCATCTACAAAACCATCGCTATGATTTGTAAACTTCCTTGTAAAATTTCCTTGAATTATTGTTTTGTTGTCGTATGTTATCTTTGAATCGCCTATGATCTCCTTTACTATATCCTATATAAAATGTTAAAAAATTTGAATATGTACACTATTGAAGAAGTTATTCTTTTTACAAAACATTATTTTTAAATAATGCTCAATTAATTTATTAACTGTCTTAAATAAAGACAGTTAATAAATATACGTATATTTTTTAACTAAAATCTCAAAAGAATTGAATTATATTAATATTTTATTCTTTCTTGAAATAATTAATTTGTGTCGTAGTCTTACTTCGTATTTGAAATCAAAGCGACCTAAGTGATACTTCTTTTCGAAAGGGAACTCTAAGGATATTTCACCGTCGTTTAAAGTACTTTTGGTTTTTTGAGTTTTTACATTGGTAACGTTTAATTGGGCGCTATTTTCCGGCCAAAATACTCCAATATGACGGTGATACTTTAACCTGAAGAATTAAAACCCAAGATATATATTCCAATAGTTATTAGTGATGGCACTTCATAAGATAAAATAGTTTTCTTCCTTATTACTAAGCTTAAATTATAACATTGCTTTTATTATCATTTATAAGTAAACAATATACATACGAAAGGGTTTCAGTTATGATTCGTAAGGCGAAGAAAGGTATGGTGTTGAATGGTGTAGTAGTATTTATAAAAGAAGTGAAATTGTCAAACGATTCGAAGTCCATTTCAGCAAATGTAATTTTATGTTGGGGTGGATAAAATATATTTAACCTGTAAATTTATAATAAAAATATAATTTAAATTATTAAAAAAAACTGCTTTATTTATTTACATAAAATCTCTTTTATCCATATTAATGGATAAAAGGAATAAGTAATATTAAAAAAATTATTAGAGCCAAGGAGATCAAAATATTGTATCGTATAACCTGAAAACACTGATGTAATTGTTTTAATATTATGTAAAAATTTGTGTAATAATTAATGTTGCCCCTAAAGATGCTTTCGACTACACTTCAAAGATATTAATCTCCTCCGTGACTCACTTTAAAACATATGAATTTATACTTACACGTACTTTAAAGTGAAAACTAAATTATTTCTCATTTAAAATGGGTTACTTACAATTTTGCTTACCCTCAGCAAAAATTTTGGTGTCACCACTAATTATATCAGAATTATTTTGTTTTTCAAATATATTAGTAAACCTATATTTATTTAGACTTTATGATGGGGTTCAATATTCAATTGTAATTTTTTCTAATAACAGTACTTTTGTTATATAATGATGGCTAATATTATTTTAAATAATTTTATTAGTCGTCTAATCATCATAATATTATACAATATTTTTTTTTTATAAATATACAAGAAGTGGACCGTGTTGCATGTTGTTTTCTGACGATATAATGTTAATAGGAGAAAACCAATCAAAGGCTAGAGGCGTGGAGATCAGCTCTTAAAGGAAAGGGACTAAGAATAAGTAGAAGTAAGATAGAGTACATAGAGTACGAGATTAACAAAGGAGAAAACGAGGTAGTTGAAATGAGATCAGTGACAATAAACAAGGACTTGATCGGAGTGGTGGACATTGTAGGATAAGGGGGCCGACCCAAAGTAGTTGGGATGAAGGCGAGGAAAAAGAAAAAGATAAAAGTTTAGATTAATATTAAAAAGTTAATATTAGTTAAAACATAGAAATATTGAATAAATGAATTTATTTTATACGCATTATTTTTAAAATATCTTCTCCAAACCATCCTCTAAATTCGGATCTGTTAATTTATAAAACCCAACCAATTTTCATTGTAAGTATAATCGTAAAAAGTATAGTAGATAAAACCACTATTATTGATTAATTTTTAATTAATAGAGTTGTATTTGAATCAAGAAATGAATTAGCAAAAACCCAGCACAGTGGAGTTGCGGCATAGTGGTGACGTGGCATAGTTGGATCAAGTATAATGATATCTGACAGTGATTAAAATCACTATCAAAAATAAACGATTCGAAGCAAATCTTTAGATAGTGTTTAATTT